TTTTAGTGTTTTTATTTTGAGTATGTCTGAGGTTCAAAACCTTTTCTAAATTTCCAATGAACTTTAGAAATCGCAAATTCGAGATTCAATTTTTAATTTTTGGCATTTTGAGATGGAATTGATTGAGTTAATCTTGAAAAATAAAAAACTTGCATTTTTGTAACTTTTTTGAAAGATAAGCAAAGCCATAAAACCTGTAACATAAATTTTTATTTTATTTATTTATTTATTATTTTGAAATATTGCGATAAGGAGACTCAATATTTATTAATATAACTTTATATAACTTAACTAAATATAATTAATATAGATAATATAAATATATATAATAAATAACTAATATACGTGATTAATATATATCACTAATATAAATATATATAACTTTTTGTTTATTAGGGCAGAAAGATTTTTAAAATTCTTCTCAAATTTTATTTTTTCCCTTGTAAATATGATTTTGCGTTGTTCTTTATTTCTCGCACTTAAAATAAATTCTTCCAATTTTAACCGGGTTTTTTTTTTCAAATATTTTTCGCAATCAAACTGTATCAGCAGGTAAAATTTTTGAGGATATAATTAACAAGTTTTATATTTGTGCGCAATGAAATGTATTGGTAAGTATTGATCCACGCAAATATCTTACAAATTTCTCTTTGTTGTTTTATCGTTAATAAGTCCACTGTGAAGCGGATAAGTGAAATAGGGACAAAACAATCTGAATAGAATTGTTCAAACCGTTATGAGGTTTCACGAACGATAGCAGCGTCATAGTCTCCAATATATCTGTATATAGCCTGTGTTTATAAGGCAGACTTTTTTGAAAAACAGATAAATTTTTTAAAAAAATATTGAAAAACTAATAAACACGATGGGAGCAATGAAATGTATTTAACAAACAACATGTGTCAACTTAAATCATTGGAAATTGGGAGCAAATAAAGTAAAATAAAAACTAATAATGCTAAATAAAAATGCATGATTTAGTCATTAACAGTATCATTATGGTGAGGAAAGTTTTTTTTATTTTTTTTATACGTAATAGTGTTGAAGAAGGGTAGTTTAAAATTACAGAGGAAATGTTTAATTGTAATATTAATAATTTTTAATTTTATGAACAGCACGTCGTGATGGTTACCATTACTATGAATTATTCTTGATCTTCTTATGAATTATTCTTGATCTTGATCTTGAGAGGAAATGTTTAATTGTAATATTAATAATTTTTAATTTTATGAACAGCACGTTAATTTTATGAACCATTAGTATGAATTATTCTTGATCTGTTTCGAGTGCCTAAAAAGATAACAATTTTTAATGTACACCAAAAATAAATGAATATATTAACGGACATAGATAAAAATGAACAGTTTGTTGTGATTTTGTTACAAAGCCAGAGGTTTTATTAATCCAGTTTTAAAATTATTTTCGAAGTAGCCCGGAAGATGGCGCTTTTAACTCAGAAATAAACGATAATGTTTGCAAAATAATTAATTATCATTATTTAATTAATCGTAAATTTAGCAGCTGGCCTAGCAAATATTTCGGTTAGTATGGTCTGTTAGGCTAAAGTACAATATTTTATATAAATTGTCGGTAGCGTCATCTGTTGACGAACTTTGAAACATTCCCTTCCTCCTAAGCCGAACGTTACAAATTGTACACTTCTCTCTTCCTTTTTTTTCTAATTGATTTTTTTAAAAATTCGGTTATTTCTGGGGCAGCTGGTATCAATTGAATATTAATAATCGTAATAATATCGGAGATTAAAACCGAAGGAATCAGTGAATTTTTGTAAAGGTTAATTAACAAGTAAGTTACTAATAGGTATTAATAAATAAATAATTAAAAACTGATCAACAGTAAAACAACAGTCTGCCAGCACTTTTTTTTTCGTTTTCTTCTTTTCTTTTTCCTTTTCTTTTTAAGACACTTTTAAAACAAATAGCTTTCTTTTTTGGCATTTATTCATTCGCTGACAAGGGTGATAAAGTTCTCAATGTAATTTAAGCAAATTCAACTAATTTCTTTTTAAGTGATGGCTATTTTAAATAATTAAATAAATTATCTGAATTTACTTTTGCCGGCTAAATGGTTAATTATATATATATATTTTATGGAGATATGATTGAGACAAAAATATTTTCTTTTTCAAAATTAAAACAGGATTTTCGGTACCCTAATAAAACTAAACAAAAAATAAATACAAGATTCAAAGTTCCTCAAAGTGAATTGCATCTCAGTTATGTTTACATCTTAAAAGATATGAGAAACCGCTGGCACACTTTCTCCAAAACAATGGTTCATATATCATATGAGTCGGCATACTTTAGGAGCCATGAAAAACTTTTCCTACTTACGATGCGCAGTCACTTCTCAGTTGTTAAAGGTGAAGTAAAAATATGATGGAAAATCATCGCCATAAATAAACATGAAACTGTTTAGATCAATGGAACGTGTTTTCCTAGCTGAGCAAACTTCCTCTAAAAATCTGAAAATTAAGCTACTTTTTTTTCTCCTAAAAACTCCGCACCCAACGAAACCGCAAAAATTACTTTTATTCCACAAACCAATATTTTACGGGAAAAAGTAATAATAAAATTGAATTGAATTACAGCTATTCCTAAGAAAAAACACAGTTAAAAATATTGGCCAATGAAATTATCGTTAAGTGAAGAATTATTCTTTTTATTTATATCTAGGAGAAAAGGGTCACTCACTTCCATATATTAATATCATGTACGTAAATTTCCAATATCATACTCTTAATAAAAGAAAAAAAACAATCTAAATCATTTTCGTTTTTTTTTTAAGACAAACGATATTTATTGAATATTTCACAAGTGCCATGATTTTGGCAAATATTCGTTTCTATTCAGTAAAACAATTTGATGAACGAAGAGGGATTATGTTTTTTTTTATTTATATCTGGAAGGAACAGGGTCTCTCTGTACCATATATTAATATCATGTACGTATGCAAATTTCCAATATCATACTCTTAATAAGAGAAAAAACAATCTAAATCGTTTTCGTTTTTTTAAAACAAATGATATTTATTGAATATTTAACAAGTGCCATGATTTTGGCAAATATTCGTTTTTATTCAGTATAACAATTAGATGAATGAAGAGGGATTATGTTGTTATTTTTATTTATGTCTGGAAGAAGAGGTTTATTCGTTTACATTTATTAATAGAATATAGGCAAATTCGCAATATGAAATTCACAATTCTGCAAATTCATAATTCTTAATTGAAGAAAAACATTCTACATAGTTTTCATTTTTTAAAACAAACGACTGTGTTATCGAAATTTTCATAAGTGACACGATTTTGTCAAATATTCATTTTAATTCAGTATAATAATGTTTTTGATAAATGAAGAGGATATACGCAGTATGTTAGTTAAAATTCACTCTCCCTCTCTAAAAACATAAAATGTATTAAATGAGGAAAAAATGTGCTTATCACAATATTGCTTAATCAAAACAAAAGTACATGTTTTAAAGATCATAGGTAAAGCTTCAAAAAGATTACATTTGTACGGAGTAAAATTTTTATTAATTATAAGAAACTGAAGCCTGGTCTATCTGCAACAATATCGAAAATAATTTAATCGCTTTAATTTTATTTCTAAACTCAATATTTTATTGAAAAAGTGAATTAAGTTCTTGTAATAATTTAAATGGTCCTGTCGGCATAAGAAAGTGTCAAAAAAATTGTTTATAAAATTTCTGATTGACAGTTTTCTCTATCATTGACCAAGTAAATCGTAAAAAAAAAATACCGTAAAATATGGGCAACATATTCTAAAATATCGATATTTTTTAAACATCGTAATAATAATCGAGCGTTATATTGGGAATACCACGTCTTACACTAAATATCAAATAAGCGATAGTTGTTGACAGTGAACATCGAGATCATTATCAACAATTATAGAGTTCGATAACGTCGTGATCATTATTGATTACGATAAACAAATACGATAATACTAAGAAAATTATCGATATTTAACTATAATTCTCGAATACTATACTATCGCGCATGTTGGAAGTAAAATTATTTACTAGTGAAATAAGATTTATGTTAATTAATCTATGAAACATCGCAATATATCGAGAAATATCGATATTCTATGACGATTTATGGCAATTTTAATCTTCAAACATAATATAGAACTATTTTATTTCTTCAGGTGACCATGCTTTCAAACATGAAAATTGATTGTGTTAAAAATAGAACTCAACATATTCACTCTTAATCGTTGAACATAGTTCATTTTTTGTAAGTTAAATGTATGCATCAATGTGAAACAATGTGTTAAGGTAAATTGTGAAGATAAAAAAATATAAACTAAATTTTTGAAAGTTTACATAAGCCACCATTTCTAAAAGTTCTGATCACATAATTTCGAAATATTTCATCAGATTTGATGTATTATACATATTTTACAAGGTTATTATTTTCTTAAATTTGTTTTACCAGTGTCGATAACTTACGATTTTATTCAGTAAAAATTCTAAATTGTTTTAACACTTAAAATTATTACTAATATATATAATTATAATTTAATATATACAATATATAATTATAATTATAACACTTCAATGCGACAAAAATAGTTTTAGTTCTTTCCCCATTTTATAATATCCTATACAATTAAAATTTTAAAATTTCATTATAAGTTTTTAGCAGTTAAAACAAATGTTCTTAAATTTCGCATACGTAGGCTCAGAGCAAAGCTCTGTAGTGAACTAACGCTATTATTATGGTAGCAACACTGTGCAGAACTTAAGTTCATAAGAGTACGGAATGTTAAGTGAGAATGTGAAATCTTTTTAACATTATATAGTATTTAATTGTTGTTGTTGTCGTCAGCCATTAAGACAGAGGGGGTTCGATTGTTCGTGTTTTAGTGTGGCGCCATCTATGGTATGAAAGATGATTAATTTATTAACTCGCGTATTTTACGTGAATATCAAATTTCCTAAAAATAACTTACCAATATCACGTGATCCATTCATTGTACTGTTGTTAGCATGTGATGCTATTTTCATTAGGGCGTCTGTGTACTGTCGAGAAGCAACTACCATAGCTGAAAAATTTAAATTTATTCATACAGACTCAATAAAAATATTGCATCTTCTTAAGCTAAAAATGTATAGTTTGTTATTCTAGTAAAATTACCGTATGGTAGTGACAATTTTAGTTAAAAAAATACATAAATCTGAAAATAAAATCAAAATATACGGTATTTAAACCATTAATTTGTTAATTTTCTTGCATTCATGTGGTAATAGTTTGCCGGAAATTCTGCATTATTCTTAATATATTCTGCATATAATTCTTAATACCATAAATTAAGTAAAAAATACAAAACTGAAAAGTGAATGATCTTTATACTAGACTCTAAGGCAGGGATGGCGAACCAATGGCACGCGACTCAATATTTTGGGCACTGCACCGATCACAATTGTTGTTACACTATGAATTGTTATTACACAAATGTTATTACGCTATGAAGCATATGTAACAATAAAATTAAAATTCACAAAAAACAAGCAAAATAATAAACAATTATTAATAAAAAAATTAAAAATTAATACTAAAAAACAATTAATAACCGTAAAAAGCAAGCTAACAATAAATAACTAGCAAAAAAATCAACAGTCCTGCTTAAACTAACATCTTACAACCTAATATAAGTTATTGGTCATGTAATCTGCAACAACAGAAGTCACACTGATGTTACTTTAAGTTGAATTACGTGTATAACTTGTATTTTTTAAAATGTAAATAAAGAGTTTTGAGTTGATAGTATTTAGTATTATTATTTTCCCAATAATCACGAAGTCAAAATTATTTGACGGAGCGTCTATGACCTCATTTAGCAATTTTTTAGAGCTAAATGAGGTCATAGACGCGCCGTCTATGGTGGCACGTTGGTGTATAAAGGTTCGCCACCCCTGCTCTAAGGTATCATGATAAAATTGCCAAATTTTATCACAAACCATATTTTATTGAAAATTTTATCAAAATCCTTAACGAAGCTCTTCGGTAAAAATTATCGAGCTTTTCGGTGCTCCCATGAAGCATAAAAAAAATAAAATTTACTATACTTTCTTTTCAATGAGTAGAAACAAATTTCAAATAATAATAAAACTGTCAAAATTTAGTGTAGCTAATCATAAATATAGAAATAACAAAATAAATAGGTTTCAATTGGCACTTTTTTAATTGTTATTGGCATTTTTCGAATATTTTACACTGATTTCTCGCAAAATGAAGAAAACAGTTTAAGTTATTTAGTTTCAAATGCATTTAATAAACTGCCCTTATTATTCAATTTAACAATTATTTTAAACTGTATTTATTAGACTGTCAAAAATGCAATTATTGCAATTCAATAAACATTTTATAGTGACCCTCCCCCCCCCCCGAAAAAAAAGACTAAACTTGCTTGTTTCTGTTGGCAACAACAGTCCTTTACTTGCTTAAAAAAACAAATAAATTTATAATAAAATTAATATGTTACTAAACCAAAAGAATGAAGTTCAAGGATCAGGAGAGATATTCAGTTTCTCACGCTTTTTTTCGGCAAAATTTGGATAAATTTTTCAAACTTAATTACATGCGCATAATTGTAATTCTTATCTTTTATCCAACTAACAGAAATTCAGAATATGGTTGGTAAATTAAGGGAAGTTAGACAAATTTATTTTTATTCGCAAGATTCATTTTAAAATTTGTTAATTCGATAGATTATTATATTAATAAAGAAACATTATTATTATTAAAGACAAAATATTGCCGTTTCCAATTTAAAGTGATTTTATCAATTTCAATGCGTGATGTTTCGGAAATAAAAAATTTGTGATCACAGTTAGAAAAGGGCCAATGATCAGGGTTAAATTATTGTTATTTGTTCATTGGAAAACAAACATAAAGACATTTGATTAACCTATTAAAGGTTTATGAACAGTTCTTAGTATTGTGCATATAAGCCTACATATATGTATGATTAAATAAATTAATATATTATTCGATATTTTAATTTATAACTGCTTTGCGTTAATTTTAAGTGACAAACCTCATCTTCGTCTAACTTGTGATTGAAATAAGTTTTCTTGATGTAAACTTATTATTTTTTTTTAAAGTAAACAAATAGGGTTGCGTTCTTTTGACTTAAACCTAGAATATTTCTGTATAAAAGACAAATATGCATATTTATTTTAATCATTGCGTGCATTAGTTAGTGCTTTCAATAGACGTATTAAATTATTGTCCCAGGTATGGCCCAAAATGCAAGACAGTTATGGTTAATGCATGAGTATATTACTATAGTTATATTGAATAAATATATTGTAATGAATTTATATCTACAAAATATTTTGTACAGCTGCATATTAAATAACTTTATTTTGGTATCAGGTGAGGGATAGCGAAATAAGAAAAGAAATGCTTTTAACTGTTCCGGAGTTTAATGAGCCGGCTGTTGTAAGCCAGTGATAATTATTAAATTTTAATTACTACAACAATGGTAAAAGTAAAGAGTCACGAAACGGAAAATATTCGAAGGCTAAATTATAGTCATATTACAATAAGGAAGTTAAGTCATCTGTATAGTAATTCAATACAGTATATTTTCAGAAATAAATTAGTTAAAAACTAAAGTGTTTATTTAATAATTATTTTTGAAAAAAATTCTATTGTAATTTTTTTTATTGCAAAAATAGATGCAATATTTGAACTAATGATTAATGCCTGAATTGAAACTTACCTTGAAGTGCTTTTAAATATGTTTTTCCAGCAATGACAAGTTGTTTTGTACAAGGTCCAAATTCATCAATTATATTCTGAAACGAAAGATAAAACAGAATAAGGTAAAATTTTTACGAAATTTATAATCAGCAACACTAGAATTTAAACACCGAGTAAAAAAAAAAAATTATCAAAATTCATAGTTAAATTAGAAAGTGCAGAAAATATAACCAAAAAATATTTATTAGAAAATACTTCGACACATTTTACGATAAAAAAATAAATTATTAGTTGATATAATTAATTAAGCAATGAAAGAAAACTATCATCACCAGCGTGCGCTTGTTACGGCTTTATCAACAATACCAGAAAAAAAATCAGATGGCTTGACTTTTTAGGAAATTGATCATTTCTCATCGAAACAAACTGTGCAATAACAATTGAATAATGTGGTATTTGATGCTTATTATAATATGGTATATGATTGAAACAATTTGAATAACGCGGTGTTTGATGCTTATGTCAATTTTTTTTCTCCACACCCCCCAAATAAATCTTTTGTTCAATGCTAATTTCTAAAAACTATTTATTACAAAAGATTCATCATTTTCTTTAATTTTATCCTGACATTGGACAAGAGATTTATTGAAAAGTGTTGAGTGACTATAAATGAAGATATTTTACAAAAAAAAAAGCATTGATATTTAGCACATCACAGTTAATTTCGAACGAATATCGATTTTACAGCTAACGAGTCGCAAACTGTTGAACAGTTCTAAACAAGAATTTGTTCGCACTCAGTGTACCGAATTAAAGTGATATTAAAAGCTATGTATGATGCAAATATAGAAGTGAAAACGAGGGAAAGATAACGATTATAGAAAGAATATAGAATAAGCACTATTTGAAGAATGTGCCTCTTGAAGATTCCAATCAGAGAGCAAAGAAATAACTTTCCAGATAGAAAGCATGCTCTACCAAAAATAAATTGATTCGATTCAATGTCTTTCACAAATCTCTCACACCAAGGACAGGTATTAAAAGCCCGCATTAAAGCGTGTACGTCACATATGATTTTCACTTACACAGCTGTTATCGTTTCAAACCTACGAATTTCAAAGATTATAACTTGGATTTGTCGAAGAAGGAAAATGTTTAAGAAGAAAATGACACCAACTACCAAGCACTTACGAGAAGCTTAGTAGTGTATGTATTGAAGTTGATCTAAAGAGCAACTTTTTCTCAAAATCTCAAAAACAAGGCCCTATATTTTACAGAATTATAAATAGACTTTCCAAAAATTCACAAAATTATGAATCGATTTTTCACAAAACTATGAATCTATTTTTCAGAACTTCACAAAACTATGAATAGATTTTTCATTTAACAGGACGTCACACAATAAGTTTGGACTAACCATTGCAAAGATAATACACAATTTTTTTTAATAAAAAGTGTTTCCATCTTCAGTCTCTGTAATTTGGGGATAGGTCATATATAGTGGCCATCTAATCCTTTGCAAGCTTGGACCAAACGATCTCTTGTGGGCCGCTACTGGAAGGCTTTTGAATTCATAGGGATTATTGGATTCATTGCTACAGGTGCTTCTCTTATTCTCGATGTTTTTTTCCCTATCTCTGTTTGCTTTTTGCCTGGTTCTTTGTATTTATTGTAGCTGTCTTTTAATTTTGCATTAGAAATAAAGTTTTTCAACTTAAACTGAACCAGAACTATTCCAATTCCTGAACTTTTCTACATAAAGGGTAAGTAGTTAGTTTTATTGGTTATGGTTGATGTGTGAGTGTTTCGACTAGTAGCACTTATGAATATTTTATGTTTAAAAAATTGCTAAGTTACTCTTTTATTTCTGTTCGGCAGAGGTTTTTTTTCCTTTTTTTTTCCTTTAATTTCGGCCTGTCTATATTGTTAGGGAGAGCTTCCTTTTTGTAATTTCAGCCTATCGATCAATTCAATAGTTTTCTGCTAGAGATTGATCTGTCAGTTATTGTGGATGTCCTACTTTTCATATGTACAACTAGTATTTTGCCAAATATTATTAAATTATGCATTTCATGCTCTCTGATTAAGCATTTCACGAGCCACCAACTTTTAATTAAATTATTACCCATGACTGTAACTATTAAATAATTCAATGTTTTCAGTTTATGCACCATTTTTAATAAACCAAAAAACCGTAACAAATTAAAAAAAAACAACAACAATATAGTATAAACTTAAGTCATTACTTCAAGCTTAAGCTGTTTCAACTGTGGCAATATTATTTTCTTAGATAAAGAATATGTTTCGAGGAAAAAAAGCCTTAATTGGGAAATCTGCAGATTGTTGCAAATCTTAGTTTATAAAAAATAACTTTCGTGCTGTTTAAAAATAAAATTTTAAGAAAATAGTTTTCCTTACATTTGCTATAAACTTCCCAATTAGAAATATTATAAACGTATATGCAATAAACAGGGAAGATATGCATGGTATTTATGAACATCTGTATTTAACGTCAATCATTAAAACGATTGCGATATTATTAAGTGAACAACTGTCAACAGTAGATTTGGAAGTAAGATCGTAGATTATTTATGTCTTCGACTTTCTAATTTATTTTTCGATCAATATATTTTAAAAATACAATTGAGAATATTTGAAGGTTAGAAAAATGCTTAGACTTTCAGATTTTGTGAACGAAGCTGTTGTCGAAAAATGTAGGCACGAAATGTTAATGTATGAATTTTTTTAATGAAAAATAATTAAGCATTTTAACTTTGAATAACTAAAATTAGTGTCAAAAAATTTTCGCTTGGCTTATAGTCTACGAATTTAAAACATGCATGTTTCTCATTTTGCTTTATACATTCCGAATAGATTAGCATATTTTAAAATAAGTTTTGTAATAATAAAGACTATAAAAATTAATGTTTACAATTCATGAAGATTTTAAAATCTTAAGATATTCGAAGAATATTGAATATAAGATAATCGAAGAATATAAGATATGAATGAATGTTTAATTATTTATGATTCTACCATACAAACCGATAATTAGCAAAAAAAAATATTTCGCTTAATTAACACCTTTTTGTTTTAATCATAAAGTCAATCTATATCTTTTGTTTTAATGTTGAAAATTCGTATTATATTGTAAAAGTACTTTGAAAAGTAGAACTTCGTCAAATAATCTAACTTGCATTTAGTTTTCAATCTCAACTATTAAATAATGTTTTAATTAGATTTCATTGTTATTTATTTTGCAATTTGCTGGTCTTATTGAACACAATTTTTCAGAAAGAATTAACATTCATTTTTTGAATTAAAAGTGGCACATTACATGCTAGTGTTAATTTTAATTATTAAAACCTGGTGTTTTTCTTACCACTTTAATGCTATTCACCTTGCTATTGATTTATAACATTTCAATAATGTGTGTCTGTTTTTCACTACGTAGCATCCTTATTATTTCTTTTAAAAATTCATTTTTGAGATGAATTATGAAAATTATATTAACAGTGAAAGTTATAGAACAACCTGCATAATACTTTTGAAAAAATTCAGCAGTAAAAAATTATAATATTTTTCCCATTAAGATAACACAAATATCCCAAATATTTCCCTATCCATCTGTAATTAAAAAGGTAAGTATAGAAATTGCATGGATAGAAATATCTTAAAACCGATAAATCCTTTTAACAATTTGAGCTTTAAAAACATTCTAAAATGTCCCAACAATAAAACCGCAAAACAATTTTTTTCTAGAAATCTGAGCTGATAGATTTAGTACATAAATTCCAGCAATGATAAGAAAGGTATTTTTTGTCCGTAAATATCCGGTGTGGAATCCTCCAAGATAAAACAAACGCAACAGTTTCATGTCATAAAAATTTGTCTCCATTTTTAGAATTATTTCTAGTACTAAAGTTAACTGCTAAATGTTTTAAATGAATTGAACTTTTTAAATGAATAGAACTTTTCAATTTAAATAGCACTACTTTTTCATTTGAAAAAAAATTTAAACTTATTTTGAAATTTTTTAAAAGAATATAAGCTTAATGCATGAATATATTAAAACTACTATTTTAATCTACAAAAAGAAAACAAAGTATAAACATTTCATACACTCTAAGTAATTAAAAAAAATTAAAAATAAGTTTTTTTTTTTTATAAATTGGTTTTTGTAAACCAAATTCCAAAGTTATTCTAATTTATACTATTTTACATACGATATCCAATAAAATATTATAAAACAGTATGATTGTATAATTTTTAAAGTATTTCCTCTTATAGTTATTTTTTCAAATCAAAGTTATAAAATTAATTTGCTTAATGTCAGCAATTGGACAATGGAATAACTTTAACATCTGCAAATTACTAGCAATTGGACCATACAATATGTTTAAAATTCCGCAATTTTTGCAGTTGCCGATGCAATAATGTTTTGGATTTCAAATTTGGAGTGCTTCTCCGTAATCATGATCATTTTTAAGAGAAAAACTTTTTCTTTCAACTCAATAGCCTCATTTTACGAGTGAGACTCGTCCAACATTTATTTCAAAGAACTAAAAAGCGGATGAAAATTTGAGTAGGCAATCAGCCTATTTTAAAAAGTTAGACAATGCATTGATAATTACCACATCACATAAATAACAATGAGTTTGGAAGTGTAACAGGTTAAATTAGATAACTAATCCATTAAAAATCTACTATCGTCTTTCATCAAAAACTTACCAGCAATTAATTTGCTATCTCTCAGTTTATTTAAGTAAATCGAACTTCAAAAGTGTTAAAGAACACCAAACATACTATTAATTATAAACCATATACAATCATCATTAATTATAAGCTATATTTCAGTTGCAATTATAACTCTATTATAAAAATTGTATAAGTAATAATCTAAGACCTAGTTCTATTCTTTTTTGAATTATTTTTAAATTAAATTTTTTTCTTAAAAATTTTACTAGTTTTGTGTGAAAGTATTTTTATTTATTAACCCTTCCAGAATCGGCGGAAAGAGAAAGGAAAGCTTCTCCAGACATGCACGCTCTAAAAGTATACGTACTATAGAGATGGTATACGTATTAATACGAGA